CTGTTGAGGGCCAGTTTCCCCAGGATCGTGTCCGCCAGCAAACAAATGTCGACACAACACTCTGGACAGCTACCGCCGTCGCTCAGACAACCGGCTTGCCGGTCGTCTGGTTGCCGTCGTCGCTCATAGATGGCGGCAACCTTTCCAGCCTTTTTACTCTGGCTGGCCGACTTGCGGCCGGCCATCACTTCATTCCCGCCATATAGTATAGCCTCGCGGTCTTCCTTCGTCACCAGAGTGGAAAGGTTGAAAGTTTTTGTTTTGTTTTTTACCACTGAGGCAGTTGTTTCGAGCAAAGAATAGGATTAGAGTATAAGACTGGAAGAACATTCAGCTCACTTTGACCGTTGACAAACGCCGTTGGTAGTAACCCGCCCTAGCCGTAGCGCGACTACAGTGTCTGTTCACACATATGTTCGTTTGTTGCAGTTTGGTAACGCGGGCGTCAGAAAGGTTGTCTGCTACCTGTCATCAGTTCTATTTTTGTGTTCGGGATCTGAGTTATTCTATAATTGCACGGTGACAGGCAGTCAAAAGGGCACATGTGTGCAGATATAGTGGAATGAGTTATGTCTAGTACAAGAGCTATCGCCGTAAAGTTAGGCTACGTTCTAAACGCGACAACAACGTGGAGAGGTAGGCAGAAATACCTATTCCTCGAGAGATAGTAGGAGGTATTCATAAAGGTGTCTTCGGCACCATGAGTGGACTCGCCGTGTGCCAAAAACGACAGCTCTTGCGGTGTATACGAAAGGGATCTGATGAACATTAACATGAACGCACACGTGCAGCTCTGGCGGTGACACATGACTTGCACGGGACGACATCGCACCGTACCAATGGTTATTATCTAGTTACTCCTACTTTTTCTTGCCGAGAAGAGACAGATTCAGTGGTGCGAGGCGTATGCAGAAGGTACGCGCGCAGCAGCAAGGCCCTTCACAATAATGATGTGGCGCAAGTGTGCTACAGGCCCCCCTCCCCCAACCTCACCCTTTTTTTGTGTGTGTGCGTGTGTGTGTGTGGGAGGGGGGGGGGAGCTGGCTGCTGTCATGTTGGTGCTCTTGGTGCTGATGAAAGAAATGCAAAGAGGAGCCTGCTCTCGAAGCGTGATGCTGGCCTGCTAAAAGCCGTCAGCTCGTGCATGGCGCCCGGTAATTTATGCACGCTCGGCTGGAACTAGAATCTGTTAATTCGCCCTTTCTTTCTCTTTTTTTTTTTTTGTTTGGCAACAAACGTAGTGGTGACATTTATTGGGTAGCTCTGGCACACTTCCGGTTTACGTATATTTTCTAATGTTTCACTCGTCATCAGTTTATCATAAGAGCGAATTGATTCTGACAGTGGTGTAGGTGTAACAGCGCGTAACAACGAGGACTAAGAAAAGGAACACACAACACAAGACGAGCGCTGAGAACCACCTAGCCCAGCTCTCTACATTGTTGAGTCTGACAGTGCGATAAGTGGTCATTTCCAGAAGATAGCGTGCATATTTGATTTCGCAAATACTGCGAAACCCGCCGTCTACTTCAGAACCGGAAGCGGTTGGGGTCTATTTGCACACTGGCGCCACCACGTTTCAACTCACGCGAGAAAGAGCGAATAATGTCCGAGTCCCGCTAGAGCGACAAACAAAACCAACCGACACCGACAAGCCTCGATCACGTGCAGCATGCACGCGAAGCTATCTCTGGCAGGCTTTCAATCCCTCGTGCTTACTTCACGAGCACAGAGTCAAGCCTGCCAAAGGTACTATCGCGTGCATGCTGCACATGTTTGAAGTTTGTCGGTGTTGATTGTTTCTGTTTGTCGGTCTACTGTAACTCGGGCAAAAGCACGGAGGACGCCAAGAGACATGGCAGTCTCAGGCATACTTCAAGTAATGTTGCTGTTATACCTTCGTCAAGTAATTCTGTAACAATAATTTGGCGGTAATTTGTGATTTAAGTGCGAAATAACCGTACAGAATTACTCGGACTAAAACGGAATTCCGTAAAATAAAGAAAAAACGACGAATTTCGCCCGGTGGTTTCTGCCCTGTGCTTGATGTCATAACAGTGGTTGCAGCGCCGCGCGCAAAGCGAACGTGTCGCCGGGTAAAGTTCATCGGTTCTTCGCCGCATGTTCACTCCGTGGAGTCCAGTCTCTTAACTCGGTCCTTTTGTAAAACTGAGAACGTAACACTTTGTAAAATGTTTTGCGACTTCCCTTTCAGCGTTGCACCCACAACTTCGTCCACTTTATCGAAAAAAGAAGAAAAACGATTCCTCGTAGATTTTGTTTTCTGTCTTAAAAATGGTTAAATTTTACACGGCCATAAGTCTGGTCTATACGAAGAAAGAGAGCAACAGTGCAGTTACCACTCTTCCAAGGTTAACGCGAAATTCAATCACACACCTCTGCCATACCCTCACGAGCACGTCTTCGTCATCCGCCATGACGATCAGGTAAACGCAGCGAGAGACTATGACGGTCCAAATGCATGTTTAGACATGCCCCTCAACGAATATCAGCATAACACTGTCCGTCTGCCTCCTTGCAAGGAAAGACAGAAGGTGTCTCATTACTTCTCAATCAGCCCTTGCATAATTGTATCCTGCCGGTGGAGTCACTACTAATTTCCGTAACGGTTAAATGGCCCGTGTTAAGCCTGGTTCACAGGGTGCGATTCTGCTCGTAATATCGCAGTTGCGACGTCGAGCACCGCAGCTTACACAAAGCTGCTGCTTCTTCTTCCTTTTTAATTTTTTTTTCTTTTTTTTTTTTGCCACACGAGCGACAGCGTAACAGGAAAATCGCAAGATCGCACCATGCGAGTGAGGGATTACCGTTCGCGTGAATATAAGAATCGACTTGCATACAATGCACTAAGGTTAGAAAGTGATAGATAACAGATCCTATAGTTTTAGCCCCCACCTCCGCAGCCTTAGATAACGTCGTGTGGGTCCTCAAGCTGTAACATAACTTCTCTTGTTCAATACCATTAGGTCACGCTAACCATAAATTCGTAAAAACTTTGCACTACTAAAACAAACAAAACAAAGCAATAATGGAAATAAACAGCCCGATGGCTCTAACATACAGGAACTCTAGCTCTAACAGGGGTCGTGCAAACAAATGCAGAAAAAAAAGACAAACAAAAAAGATGCTGCGCTGTGCGGTGTTTGAACCCCTCCCCCCTCCCCCCCCTCCCCCCCCTCCCTCCCTCCCTCCCTCCCAAAAGTAAAGTAAAATTAGAAAGAGGGACTCAGTAGCGAGACTGTCCTCCGAGTGCTGGTATGTATTGTGAGTAGGAAGTTATCCCTCGACTGAATGTGTCCATTGTATTAGTGCGAACGAGTTTTATTTTTATTTGCGCTATGGACGCACTCTTGTTTTCGCATCTGCAAGAAATGGTAGGTACTCTTTCAAGCTCAGCGTTTTGCCAGTGTAGCACACGTGTACATCCATTTCGGTAATGACCTCAGATCTTATATGCACAATCGTCTCCACGCAGCTTATTTACATCGCATACGTTGCGAGAGGTTTTATGTTGCTTTTTATTTTTATTGTTGGCAACGGTGTCTGTATGACTGGCCAGACTGTCTTTTTGACAAGACAGGTTCCAGCCTGCACATTCTGAAAACGGTAACGCTAATAGCAAAGGCATTCTTCCAATGCATTCTGCAGCGTCCGTCTGCTATCGGAGACCCCACAGGCTCGCGAGGGGCGCTGCGATGAGTTTTCGCCCGCGCGCGCCACGGGAGTTTCCAGTATGGGTTTTCAAGGTATTTGGTAAATATATATATATATATATAATTCTACATCGTCTGTTCGCATAAACCGTCTAACCTCTCTGACGCCAGGCCACTGCCGTGGCGCTGCTATCGGTACTGCGCATGCGCAGACGGTTCCCTCCTCTCGAATTTGGTTTGTGCGCACGCGCAGTGCCCACACCGGGTGTGGTCAAAGCGGGCTTGTTTGGAAACACTGTGGTGGTGTATAGTTAGTTTCACACTAAATTCAACCGCAGCCGACGCTACGACTCGATGGTGCCAATCAAGCAGGGCAAACAGTGCGTTGCCATGGCGCTCGCTGCCTTTGTGAGTTTGCTTGATATCACCAACTAAATCAATCACGCGCAAAAATAAAAAAAGTCACGTGGTCACGACGTCTCATTAATATTATCGTTGTAAACCCCGGCCTCAGGGGAAGATACGGGAGGAAGGTCAAACACGGAGCTCCAAACGGATGTGTCGATGATGGAAGAAACTTTTTATTTTATGTGTTCGGAACTGTGTTGTTTTGTCGTTGGTCGCGTTTTACCGTCGCTTCTGGGTTCACGATGCCAGACTTACACCAGCCCTCCTGCTTTTGATTTTGTGTTATACTGCGCTAAAAGAAAAAAAAGTAAGAAAAAGCGCATCATTATGACGTTTTGTCGTGTCTTCAAACGGGAGTCGTTTTTACTATTCAACAAATAACTAGCTGCGTTACATATTTCCGTATTGTTTTACGGTATCCTCTCTCAAATTACGTTACATGCTACGCTTACGTTCAACACCAATACAGCTCATAACTTAAGACAGGCATAACTGGAAACATATGGCTAAGATCGTGATGCACGTATTATTATTATTGATAGTAGCAGCTGTAGTAGTAGTAGTAGTAACACAAATTGGACGGAAGTACAAACCCCAATGGCAAAAGAAACATATGAGAAGAGAAATCACGTGCAACAAAAGCGTGTTTACGTCGACGAATATGGAGAAACACGACGCGCCCACAGGACAACGTTGCCACAGGATAGGCAGGTGTCGAATAACTCGATGCTGACCGCAGCACGCGACACGAGGACACGGGACGAGCAACCGCGTAAACAAACAAACCCAACAAAAAAACCGAACACAGCTGGTCCGTTCTCGCGATGCGTTCCTCATCGGTCATAAGGGAGCCATCTGCCCGAGAATCCCCAACCTTCCAAAGAACGTATCTAATCGGTCGAGAAAGGAGCACCTCACCATTCCAATTTCGGCGGCGGGACCCGTGATGTCGCCGATGCCAATGCCGATGTCGTATTCCTGGTCGCTGCCGGCGATGAGGCGGGCGAGCAGCACCGCTCCGACGATCAGGTAGTTCCACATGGCCTCCGAGCCCGAAGAAGAAACCGAAATTTAAGAGACGACGTTACCTCGACAACCGTGCCTAGACCGTTCGAATTTTAAAAGAGCACCCCGTTCCTCCCGCCGCCAGCAGCCGACCTCAGCCTGTTTTCATTCCTGCATGGCCAGTTTAGGTTGGCGGTTTTTGTGGAACGCCGTCGGTGGCGCCACGGCCCGGCGCGCTCGGGAAGCTCGCTCGCCTTTCCTCGGCTCGGATTGGCGGTGCCTCGGACGAACAGCTGGCGGCGTGTACCCCTTGCACCGGGCGCAATTTGAGACCGGAATAACGGCACAGGTATCTCGTCGCCGGTATCGTCCTCGGTGTAATTATCGACGGAGAGAGGAGGTATCAAACAGGCGGCAAGGGTTAGTAGCCGTCAGCTGGTTTGGAAAGAGCGCGAGAGTGGCTTTGGTGCGTTTTTAAAGGTCGCGAAGCGCGCTCTGGCTTCGCGTTGATGATAAGATATTGATTCGATTGGCTTCGTTGGAAATAGCAGTCACGGAGGAATTCTCTATATTCACCACAGTTTTCTCTCGGAAAAAATTTTAAAATCCACTGCGAGAATCGCCGAAAGAGAAGAAAGAGGTCAGAGATGTGGTATCTTTGTGCGCGTGCACTGGTGCATATCCTCTGCCAAGCATGCAGTAAGTGGTATCCAAAGATTTATGCCAATACATCCCCTCCCCCCCCCCCCCCCCCCTCGTAAACAAAGGGGGAGTCTGAGAGCCGCTAAAAGTTTTTAAATCCCCTCCTCTTCGTTTACTCTCACGACAAAATTAACCTCCATTTGCGCCTCCCGCGACCTATAGGCCTTTCCATCGCTTATCACCCGGGAAAAACTGCCGAGTCACTGAGCTGTGGACGCATGCGCAGTGCCTGATAGGCCGCACGTCAGAGCTACAGCGCATGCTCAGAAGCCGTTCCACAGCCCACCAGACAAAGATGGCAGCGCCCAGAAGTTGATTTTCCGCAAAGGTCTATAGGAGTCGCCACTGTCGGGCAGATGTGGCAGTCTAAAACAGGTCGTTGCCGTGCCATGTGCCCCGCTCAAGTTTCAGCAGGCAAGCATTGGACTCAAAATGGTTTGCCTCGATTTTTATTCACGACGTTTCAAACCAGCGACGATGTCTTCGCGTTTGCGATTGCTTTCAGAGTCTTGACTTTTTTTTTTTTTCTTTTTTTCGGGGAAGTTATGGAAAGGCAGTGGGTGCCGACAAACGTCGATAAACTCCCAATCCCTGGTTCACGCGGTAGCGTCGGTTGTGTTTAGGGCGACCTGGGTAACATGCATGATACGAGAGCAACGACTGAGTTACCGCGGGACAGCTGTTCCGTCAGGCCAACCGCCCACAACTATGTAATCACGGAAGCCACAGTTGTGGTTTCAGTGATTACATAGATTGCGTACATAGCAGACATCGCGAAAGGACATATGTTCCGGCCAGTTGAATGTTTTCTCGCTAGGTGCCGTCCGTTTTGCTGGAGTCGCGAATAGTCTCTCACAACTGAAGAAGCTCAGGGCTTGGCTTCTCGCGTTGACGCTTCTCGCTTCTTCGATCGGTTCCTCGACGTTCGCCTTGGCTAATGCTGCACTCTCATTGGCTGCGGGAGGATAATGAGATGTGCGAAGCTCCCCACGCACTGCGTTTCTCGAGTCGCCGGTGGTCGTGAAATGACGTGTGCCGTAAGCAGTAACAACACCTCTTCAAACCGCCCAAATAGAAAAAAAAAAAAGCTGGTGTGGGCCGTCACTGCGAGCCGTGTATTTGCACGTCTGCCATACACTCTAACAAAAAGCCCGTGCGTCCGCTTTCCCGCACAACACTTGGAGAGCCAATCACCGCAACTTACGGAGGCAGCTCAGCGAATGACGATGCCGAAACATATGTTTAGACCAAAGAACGCAGTCTGAGTTGTGACATTAAGCAAGGCAAAACGTCACGCTTGCATTGCTTAATGTCACAACTCAGAGTGCGTTTTTTGGTCTAAACATATGGTTCGGCATCGTCATTCGCTGAGCTGCCTCCGTAATTTGCGGTGATTGACTCTCCAAGTGTTGTGCGTGAAAGTAAAAGCACAGACTTCTTTTAGAGTGTAGCTGCGTACATTCAGGTGCATGATGCGCTTGAGGTACCGGCCGAAACGCCGTGCTTGCATTTTTTTTTAAATTTTTTTTAATAAGATCTACTGGGGAATGTTAGCCGACAAATAAAAGGGCTGTGCCAGTGGCGCTCTTATTAGAAAACATTTTTTAGTGGCAGGAGTTAAACGCCATCCCTAGAGCCGGGGTCCACTGCTCATATATCATACAAAAGGCAGTCTGCAAACACAAGTCACCGCAATATACGTGGTTCGAATGCCGCCTGCAAAAAGGTCTACCCGTTGAACTCATTGCCATGCGGCCTTCGAAGCACAAGTCTTAAGGCCGGTTCACACATGCAACAATGCGCTGATGTAGCGCTTCTCACGTGCCGTCCGCTACTTATTGTCCGCCATGAACAACAGTATTGACGGTGCGATACAAAGCTGGTGAACGCTCCCGTCAGCACGCGCTTAGCGCGAGGTCAGCGCTCCGCTTGTAGCGCTCCGCTTCATTGTCTTTTGTATGATGTATAAGCAGTGTGACTCCGGCTTATGACGGTTTATAGCTTATAGAAATGATTTTCTGAGGACTGTGCCATCTACGGAATAATATCTAATGATTTTGACTCAAACGAATTATAGCATGATTTGAATTTTATATTTAAATGATTTGAGCTCTACTCAATGGAACCATACATTAACAAGTGTGAACTAATGCGCATGGGCTGTAAAATTAGGTTTACTTGGCTGTATAACCTTCATAATTCAATACTAGAGCTCGTAAACTCTTCAAAGTATCTGAGTGATCCTAAGCTCCGATCTTTCAACCTACATAATAATTATGCGACTAATAGCGCTAACCGTATGCTTCGTGATTTCGAACGTATTTTTTCTCCTGCCCCTTCGTCATCAAAAACTATATTTTTTTTTATAAAACATTTGGGTGGTCGAAGCTCGAGTGTGCTGCTTCCATCTCGGATCCCGTTAGCGCCTACCTTACTGACTCCCTCGAATTAATTTAGAACAGGTTCACGGGTTTTATTCGGGCTAACTATAATCACACTGTTAAAACCATACCAATAAAAATAAATAAAAAAAATCCTACCCATCCTTGCAGATCGCGGCTGAATTTTTAGTATTTGTCGCTTTTCCAAAAGTTTCTATCACCACAGAATACTCAGAAATCGGCTGATAACCCCACCATCATCCCAACATTTGTTTCCGCACGCCTGAATCACCGTCACAAAATACGCGTCACATTCTTTTTTTTTTTTTTTCTGTAACAAAGCTTCTATAACAATTGTTTTTCATTTTTATCCCTGGAGTTTCGAATGAAAGGAGTCACTATACCTGCGTTGTTTACGTCAATTGTTGATTGTGTTCTTTGTCGTTCAGATATTCCCAAACATGTGTACCCCATTGTTTAACTTTATGGTATTTTCCGCTGTTATTCATCGTCACTGACGTCATCAGTGACGATGCCGATGCCGATGCCGTCATCAGTGACGTCACGCGTCCCATAATGCACCGCGTGGTTACGCCGACGGTGACGCCGACGCCGCTCAAGCCGGAAACGGGCGCCTAAGAGCTGCACCCTAAATTTCTTTTCCTTTTAATAAAGGTTTTTTTTTTTTTTTTGCATTGGAGGGCGACGCAATTCTTCTGCAGGTCTTATATTGTTCCGTGCGTATGATGACGCCTTTTCCTCGACGTTCTGCCTGCGTCAGTTTTTGCGAGATCGTTTTCGCAACGTCTGGAGATGAGCGCGTCGACCGGTACGCGTATCTGTCGCAATGGAAATAAAGCGATGCAAAGGAACACGAGGGCAAGAAGGAAGAAACAGCGCTACGAATGCATGTTTTTTCTACTTGTCCTTGTGTGTTTTTGCGCTGTTTTATTTTAAAGGGAAACTAAAGCAATTCTTGATTTGAGAACAAAAAAAAAACCCCACATAAATCGTCTTCATGTGGCCTCCAGGATCAAGAATATCGAGATTATTTTTCAATTTAGTGCACGGACGCTGGGAGGCTGCAGAAAATAATTTTCAATGTACCGCTGAAGCCCCTCCTTCCCGGGGAGTGACGTCATATGCAAGAAGTTTTCGGAATCTTAACTCTCGCGCATCTTCAGCGCCTGTCAAAGCTATGCACGCGCACTCTTGCCATTTGCAAAAAAAAAGTCAGAAAGATACGTCACGACTGGTGTCAGTGCGGGGGAATATACCTGGCACGCTTGCAATTCTACGCGCTGCTCGCACGAGCGACACGCGCTTGGCAGCCCAAAGATCCTAGTATGACGCCACGACTGGTCGGAGGTTTTTCGTGATTTGTCGCGTTTCGTTACATCTTCGGGCAAAACGAAAGTGATATTCATATTCACGGGATAAAAATACGTCAGAATTCACCTCTAACTTTTTTTTTTTTCCAAGAAGTGTTTCAGCTTCTTTTTAAATCAGGAAATGCTTTTTAACGCCATCCCTCAATCCCAAAATTTTATCCGTCTGTCCGCCCGTCCGTGCATTTGCCGCTAAATTTAGCCGGGAAATTAATATCACGAGACATATACACCAATTCAGTTCCTGAGCTAAATTCATAGGAAAAAATTGATGTCAAATTGATTGCAAAACAACAAGAACGTCTCCTCAAAGCTGGTTATCCGCCAGGTCTGCTGAGCACCATTCTTGTTCAGTTAATTCTAGCCACCCAAAAGCCCCGTAGTAAGTCTTCACGTGTTATCTGCATTCCCTATGTGCACAACTCGGCGCACAGACTGAAGGCAATTGCAGCGCGCTTCAACACTTCAGTTGTCTTCTCGTGCAAGTTGCGCCTGAAACAAGTGTGCAGGCGCGTGAACAATAACGAATCCTTCAAAAGATGTTTCATCAAACATGCCAATCAGGCCGTTCCCTGTGAAGAGGGGGTGGTATACTCCATCCTTTTCTCATGTGATGACCGATACATTGGACAGACAGGGCGTTGCCTGAACACCCGCCTACGAGAGCACGTCCTCGAGGTCTCTCATGCTTCGAGCGACTCTTTTCACCCAATAGTTGTGCATCAACGCCTCTGCACGAACTGTGAAGCCCGGTTCCAGGACACCAGCACGATCGGCAGACACAAAAACAAGCTCGGCCGAGAGATCATTGAAGCATACAAGATAGCCGA